GACCGATTTGATCGCGGTTGGCGCCATTCAAAAGGGCTTGACCATACTTAGATTTTGTATATACTTTGGAACGATTCGGACCAGTCGATTTTGAGAAATCGCAAAAAAACTATAAAAAAAAATTTTTTCAAAAGTGGTTTTTTTGGAATAACTTTTAAACGGCTCTACCGATCAATTCCAAAAACTAATCAGCTCTTAACATTAAAAAACCACGTCAATCGCTGCCAATCCGGTCAAAATCATTTAATTCGTTCGTGAGTTGTCGTTGACGAAAGAAAACCGAAAAAAGTGATTTTTCGGAATTACTTCGAAATTCGTGGCTCGACCGATTTAAACTTAAAGATTCTTTATAGGACTTCAAAAACTGCGTCGATTGCCGCCAACCGCGTGAAAATCGGTTCATTCATTCAAAAGTTATTGTGATTTGAAAATTCAAAAAATAGTGTTTTATCAAACTTCTACCAAACTTTTGAGCTCGAAGAGCTCAAAAGCATACATAAGCTATTTTTTGGGCTCGGAGAGCTCAAAATAATACACAAATTGTATTTATGAGCTCTCAGAGTTCAAAAACTTCATAAGTGCAATTTCAAGCATTTAGGTATAGAATTGGCGGGAAGTTGCAGGGATGGCCTTCAGGGTCAATCGTTTTCCTAATTTTTTTTTTTATTTAGTACAATAATCGATAAGAATACATCACGAGATGAACTAAAAATCAAGCATAACATAGAAAATATAATTTTTTTTTAATTTAATAATTTTATTTAATCAACTGCCAGGCGTGAGTTCGAATCCCAAGCTGGTCTTAGAAACCAGCTTGGTTGAGATTTGACCTTGCCGCGTAGGTTAAGATTTTTTCAAACCAAAAAGACCCCAACGTACCACTCCCAACACTTAAAGTCGGCGATATGACTAATTAACGAAAAATAAAAAACATTATGAGCGACCTTTCAAAATTTAAATTTTGAAGTGAAACTTTAAGAAACTTATTTTTTTTTGGTCTATAAAATTATACCGTAACGAGAAAAAAAATTAAAAAAAAAAAAATTCGATTTTTGACAATTTTTGAAATTTTGAAAAATTTAGAGTGACCTCTTAAAAATTTTGTTTTGAGCTGGCCTTTGGTGAGGGCTCTTAAAACATCAAAAACTAACATTTTTTCACTCGAGACTAAAAAAAAAAAATATTCGGTCTTTTTGCGCCATCCTAATGTTCATGAATAAAAACTCGGCCGAAAAAAATATAAGATTTTGAGAGTCACAACATTTCTCGATCTCTGTAGCAACGATTATTACAGTAACAGCTATACATAGTGGAAAAAACTTTGTTCACACGGTCGTACCTTGAGATTTCTCGTTTCTTTGATGTTTGATAACTTATGGAAAAATCTACTATCGAATTTCAGCTTCCCAATTTTCAATATGAAAAAATTATGCATATATTTTATATTTTTATAGCATACAAGCCATGATCCTTATTATGTACCTATATTTTTAGTAATAGAAAGAGAAAAAAACACTGGTTCTAATATTGTTTGAACACTTCAGTATAGATACATCCAGTAGAAAAATCTTTAAATTCTTTTAGTGAATCATTTATTACTGATGTAAAAATGTTCGATCTTATACCTGATTCTAGTAAAAATATAAATTGAAAAACGTAAATTTCATTGAACGCATTTTATGACATTTCTGACAAAATTTTCGTAAGCCGTAGTCAATAAAATTAATTATGTCACATGTTAAAAAAATTTTCTGTACATTTTATGATTTTTTTTTTCCAATAATATATTTTATTTCTAAATTGGATTAACAGTCATTCAAACTTACATTCCTTTATTTTCCAAGGGTCAATTATATCTCCTTTGTCTTCATATTAGATAGTCTGATTTAATGCATTTTTTCAAAAATTTAATAGATTATTAGTTACTTTTCTTAAAAGAAAAAGATGGGCTTAGTTGATAATATCAATTTTGAAAATATTATAAAGTTTTATACCAGGGCTATTGAATAGCTTGTAGATTATTTTACTAAATATTCTTAGGTAAAAACAAAATTATCTTTAGTGGTTAGAAATATAAAAAAAATGAATAATAAACTTATTTCAGTACTTTATCCATTATTCAGACTTGAAAAATGAAAGAAAATAATGATTTAGGTATTATGACTATTGCAACCTTCATAACACAATGCTCAAAGTACGCTTAGTTTTGTTTCTATCTTTAATAATAGATTTGATATAAAACTTTATTATAGATAAATTTTAATAAAATTTTAACTTGTAAATAATACAATAAATTATCTACATAAATTTCAAGAAGATAAACAAAAATATACATTTTAATAGTTTTTGTTATTTAATTTTTGAAAGTCAATTTTTCTTTTCTCAAATATTTGTTAGTTATCATTTAAGCCCTTCTTAAATTATATGCACAAGCATGCTTGCTGTTCTTTTGTCATAACAGCAAAATCTAAATTATTGATTCAACTTACTCCGGACGTTTTAAGCTGCATTGAGCTCATACAAATTTTCAGAAGATACTTTAATTTTTGTTATCGTTTTATCACAGTAGTAGCAGCAATACCTAGTATTTGCGATATGGTGACAGCAATAATCAAAAACTATTTTAATAACTAATATAATCATAGGGTATGAGTCGTATTCGAAAAGTTATACATTGTGTGTAGAAAAACTAAAGATAAATACAAAAATGATTTCTAAAGTTATATTACATATCCTTAGATTACGCAGACGTGAATAAATTTTCTTTAATACCATCGATTTAGAGATATTCAATGAACGAGTGTCGCGTCAAACAGTAAATCTTCAAATGGCTATTGATTGATATATTAATAGTATTTCACTCTACGTAAAATGAGCTAATTTAGAATAAAAATATTATACAGCTCAATATGTCTATCTTGCTTATTACTTGGTTGCTTTCTTGGCTACTTTTTCGCTTTGAATGATTACAGCGTCAATAAAATATTAACATATTCTAGGCTAAATTTTGACATATTTTTCATCTGGTTATATATATAATTATTGACTAATTGTTAGAAATCAGCTAATTGTAATAGATTCACAGTGTTGAAGTTAAATGCTTAGTGTTGGTTTGATAATGTATGTTCAACTTTATGCATGGTATGATTGTTTGTTTTTATGCTTATAATGTATAAAATAGTGTTATTTAAATTTCACAGCCAAATAAATAATAGTACCAAAGTAAATACCCTGAATTTGATATTTCTTATTGCACGAAAGGTTATCTTGACTCAAAAATAATTTTGTTAGCTCAAGAGAATTTTTAGGGTGATACAATTTCTTGTTTTATTATAAAACTGGATATTGGTTCAGAATTTTACCAAGAGGTCAAAATAATAATTAAATCTTAAAGGGAAGAACTCAATTTGATAAAATGATTTTCTTGCTTTCATTAAGTGGTTCTTAGAATGCCGACAAAATTACAGTCGAAGAAACTTTTCATCTTTTACGTTAGCCTTGTTACTGTCACAGCCAAAGTTGCTTCTTTTTCTTATACTCACCATATGTATTTATTTTTCCCTGAATATTTAAAGCATTTAAAATGCAACTATTATTTATGATGCATCTAAATTCCGAGAGTAACAACATCCTCATAACTATAACGAATATATTCTGCCAACTTTAAAGCGCTTGCAACTTTAAAGGGTGTAAGCTTTAATTTTTAAAGGTCTTATGTTGTAAAACTAAGAAAACAATTTACTCGAACATTTTCTTTATAAGCTATAAGAATCATTTACTAAAACAAGAAATTTTATGTTTGTAGATCAAAAAGTCACTTATCATAATAGAAAAATAAATGTTCTGATGAATAGGCTCTTATGACATAAAATCAAGAAAATTTTATTGACTTAAGAAAATAACTTTTTGAGTTTAACAAGAAACCTATGAAGACGATAATAATCGTGAATCAAGTTAACCTTTTTTCCGTGCACATGTACAAACTAAAAATATATTCCTCCTCTATAGTCATTTATAAAGTGTTTATAATTTCCTGCTGTAACCAATTTAGAGCGATAATTTTGTCAATTTGATATTTTATCCGTCAATAAATCAATGTGCAATTGAAAAAATGATTTAGTGTTGTGATTGATAGGTTCATTAGTCTACAACATGTTCCATGTTTTTTTTTTTTTGAAAGTGATGTGTGAACATAGTTATGTAAAAGTAATATCGGTTCGAAAATGAATTTTTTTTCATTATTTGGCTTTATTGAGTTAAATTATTTTTTCTAGTTGAAACAATATATCTAATGTTAGGATCAAAAACCAATTAGGAAACATATCCTATATATTAAAATTGATGGTTGATTGAAGTTAGCTTAGTATCGAAATAACTCGAAAACATGGGACCATGATTCCTTATTGGTTCAAGATTAGAGCACGCGCGTATGCGCGCAATTTGAATTTCTAGTTTATATTAACAACACATTCGACTGCCCCATATTAAAACACAGAAACTGGAAAATTTTTAAGCCCGATTTGTGTCAGTATTATTACTTACTTTATGACTTTTAGTATACTGATGTTTTTTAATTAAAAAATTTTTGTATCAATATACCTTCTTTTTACAACTTTTACCTTATCTGATGAATTTCAATAAAATCCAATTATTTATTAATGGGAAAAAAATTAAGATTACATTTATATATGATGTTTTTATAGTTTTTATAATACTTTTTTTACACATCACTATAAATTTTAGTATCTAGAAGTTTGATTTGCTATTTAATATTTTCTCTTATCGTATATTCTTTTCTCTCTCACATAATACGCAATACCACTACTCTAACATAAACATTTGTTATTTTCTAGTAAAACACTAATGTCAATAACATATGAATACTAAACTCATACATGAAAAAAACTAAGTATTAATCCATAAATTTATGGTAGGTTATGCTTCACTAAATTGAAGTTGCTGCTGCTAGCAATTGAGATCAAAGGAGAAGGTGGTGCCGACAGTAAAATTTCCATAAACCCAAGAGGTGCCAAGATCGCTGCCAATACTCAGGGATTCTTTATTGCTCAATCAGCCGACGAAGTCAAACGGTTTAAAATTTAAAGTGTTTTATACAAATCACCCGAGTCGAAATTTAAATCGTATGTCGGACGTTGTGGACGTTAAAACCGTAGGTCCAACGCAGTGGTCATTAAAAACGTAAACTCAACTTATTGGACGTTAAAATCGTAAGTTTAACATATTGGACATAAAAACGGTAAGTTCAACTTTTTTAATTTATCGAAAGAATGAATTTAAGAAAAATTTAATTTTTAATTTTAATAATAAACATCCAATTATTTATAATGAACATTCAATTTTTCTTCACGAAAAAAAATCAAAATTTTTGTTGTTACGAGATATTTTCTTTGCTATTTATCCACGCAAAGTTATAGAGAGAGCTGATAATGTTAATATGAGTTGTATTATATCACGCTAGTGCTTTACAAGATTTCATACTATATAGTATGATTGATATGAATAGCAGGAGTGAATTCGGAGTGATTTTCACTTCCGCCAATCAGAGTATCGAAGTGAGAAAATAAAATACTCCTTAAAAGTGATTTCGGAGTAAATATGAATTTTAATCCGAAAAACATCAGAGTACTAAAATTTCAAATTTGGAAAAAAATTCAATTTGAAAAATTTCTTAAATCAGTTATTTATCTACTATTAACGATTAATTCATAAATAATATAAATTACTAAAAAGTTTGGAAAATCCAAAAGTGCACGCCTCATAACGCTCATCCAATTTTTAAGAAAAAAATAAATTGTGTAATTGATTAAAAAAAATAATAATAATAATTAAGTAATTTCTTACAGAGTATTTTTTATTTTTTTTTAATTATCGACTCCCGTTTTTCTTGTCATATGCGCACACAGTCTAAAAAAATCTAGCTTGATCAAGTGGCGCCATAGTTTTCACGTGACAGAAATAAGAAAAGTTCGTCTGTTTTTGTACGAAAAAAGAAAAAGTTTGGAAAATCCAAAAGTGCACGACTCATAATGCTCATTTAATTATAAAATATTAAAAAAAAAAAAAAATCAACATAAGTCGTTCAAAATTAGTTGCCGAAAAAATCAGCTGTACTAGGAAGATACTGCACAAGCGCCTCTGGTGGAATAAATGTACATAATATCTATAGATATGTCACTGTCACCATCCGTGTTAATTTTACATGGATATATATAGATATGCAGTCTTGTAGTTTTCGTTTTTTATTAATTATAATTAAACGACACTCAATTAATTAATCATTCGCATTCAGTGACCTACAATCGTCGATTAGAATTAAAAAAAAAAAATTGAACTCAAATAATGGATTTTTTCACAAGTTACAGTGTTTCCGGGTTTCACACATGACGGACAGGAAAATTTTTTGACCTATTTTGGTGTTTTTTTCCGATTCTATTACAGTAAATCAATTTTTAAAAAGTATGGAATTAATCTCCATTAAATTATCTCGACAATAGTATGCAAAATATCTTGATTCCGTGAACTAACAAGGCTATAATAATAAAAATAGCTGCCAAAATGAGGCGAAAAAATTTTTCGATCGTAAAGCACTCTCTGATGCTTCGCATCATGAGTCGTGCAATAAACTGGGCTACTGACACGAAATACGGCACCAGTTCATCAAATTCTTGAACTAATAAAAAAGGCCCGGTCTCGAAATATCAATTTATTCGGGAGTAATCGTTGGTACGTCCAAAATTGTGTGACATCAGGACGTCTACGTAAAATTTTTTTCGAAACGTTTTTTTTTTTTAGAATAGCAACATGAATTGATTTTAGAAAGTAAAATATGGTTTAATTTGAGTGTTTTCTCGGTGTACATCTACTCATATTATTGTATAAGTGCAATATGGTTGTGATAAAGGCATTTAAAGATCACAAAATTGCTTGACCTTGACGAGTCGAGTATAAAGCACAACCTTACGCGCTTCACGCTATGAGGCGTGCAAAATCGTTGGTAAAAATGAGTAACTATTTAGCAAAACTAAATTAACATATTTTAACACATTTTCGCCCTAAATCATGAAATTATTTAAATAATTTGGATGTTATTTTATTTTACCTCTTTATAGGTTCTGTTTACGTTTTCCATACATTAAAAACGTTTTTACTATCCGATAGTTGAATTTACGTTTTCAACGATCAATACGTTGGACCTACGATTTGAACGTCCAATACGTTCGATTTACAATTTAAATTTCGACTCGGAAATCAATATATCAATAGTGAAATCGCTTTATTTACTATGCTTTTCATTTTCTTACTTTAGGGCATGGTTTTATTGCAAAGCATGTCATGAGGATATCAAGGATGAGACACTTATCAAGAAGTGTAAATGCAAAAACTGTAAGTTATTCTACTCAATCAAATAATAAAAATAATAATTACTTAACAGAAAAAATTTTGATAATCGGATCTCTACTCACTTATACTAGTCTTTAAATCTATTACTTTAAGAATTTAATAGGAATTTACTTTGCGAGTCACATGATGGTTAACTATAACTTAAAATCTTGAAAATCATAACTTTGCTTAAAAATACCCGCATTTCTATGGATCTCTTAAACAAATATTGTATTCAACCCTTCTCGAAGTATGCACAGTTTTATTATGACTTCAAATTTATCAAAAAAAATTGATTTAATAGAAGGTACTGAGTTATTGAAGGGTAAAAATTGTCTCTGAGAATTTAGAAGAATAACATTTGATAAGTATTTTTGCTACAATTACGATTAAAGTTGACATTTTTAGAATTATTTAAGCTTTTTTTCGTAGCATTTATGTAGTTGTCGGTTTCTTTATCCCACTAAAAATCTTGCTACAAAAACTAGTAAGAGATTTATTCTAAAATTTTTCTGTAAGATTCAAAGAAGTATTTGATGACACTTTCTGTACCTGAAGAATTGTATAAGAATATTTTAAAGGAATTGTTAGCTCTTTGGTGTTTGGCCTTTGAATACCACTATTGACTGTCAGACAAAAAAAATTAACTTTTGATTCAAGAGAGAAATTCTTGAACCAAAAGATTCATTTTAAAGAATTTAATTGACTTAAATCAAAATGACAAATTCTGGAATCAACTAAAATTTATTTAAATCATGAAAAGTTTCATAGTGTATGAATTTTTTACTTAAATCAATAAAATACTTCAAAATGATTTTCTTGGTTAAAGAATTCTTCTCTTGAATCAAATTAATTTATTTTTCAAGGTAGGGACATTTCACAAAAAAATAAATATTACCAGAATTTCGATATCGACACAGTGAAAGCTGTTAAAAGTTACCCAGGTTGTCTTTCTCGCTCTTGTTAGTGTTTTATGAGAAATTGAGACAGAACTACGGTAACTTTTAACAGCTTTCACTGTATATGTTTTTAACTGCGGTACTTTCGATGTATGTCATATGGGGGATAAAATTAGTGGAAGAGTATTTCACAGTTACAAAACTACTCTTAAATTAAATTTCATTCATAACAAATAACTCAAAGATAGACGCATCACTTGTACCAGAATTGCGTAAAATGTTTCACGCATGATTTTGGAAAGAAACATTGGTTATTGATTGACAATATGCTTTTACAATTCTTCAGATTAAATTTTTCACAGATTTCTTTAATAGAATTTAAAATATAATGAGAAAGTAGGCCATCAAGGGTTTTTATACAAATTTGCAGCAAGAATTTCTTATGAAAGTTACCTATTTAAAAAAAAGAGAATTTGAAAATTAAGAAAGAAGCACATTTAAACGAAAGCGAAGATATATTAACTTCGCACCTTCTAGTTTTATGATTAAAAAATTTACGTTAGCTCTTATTTTATACTAGTATTATTAAAATAAATGAAGAAAATACTCAAGTGACTCGCAAAATATATTAATATCGACTGTACTTAATACAGAAATTAGTTATTTTCAGAGAAACGGTTTTCTTGTTGCTTAATAACCTCCATTTTTTTTTAATTAATCTATTTCCATTATGAAATTGATTCAATATTTATTTATAGACTTAATTTTTTTAATATTTCTCCTTCATTATAACCGAGTGCTATTTATGCATGTAATCAATAATTGAATAAATGAAAACAATAATTTATAACAAAAAAAAAAATGGCAGACGATAAAAATTATTAATATATATGATCTAGTGGGGCAGCAGCAGCGCTCCTGGGGCCGTGACTTAGGTAACGTCTCTCAATCGTTCGTTTATTCTCAAATTTTAAATTCTTCTCTCCTCTAAGTACATTATACTTTTTACCACTGTATTTTTGCTCAATTGTATATTCCTATATTATCCGGCCTGGCCTTTTCCGCTCTTCATTTATCACGTTCTATTGTGTTTATTCTCAATTTTATTAATTCTTTCTATATATTTATATATTTTATTCTTATTCTTATTTCACTATTTCTTGCTATCTTGATTATTCGCGCTTTCTATTGCTGCCAAAACTTATCCAAGCATTCGTCTACGCGATAATTTTTATGAATTATGACTTCATTATTTTATTTAATATACCCTATACCATACATTCGTTATAACTCTATTTATACTTTATAGTGATTATCTTACTTAGAGAACAATAAAAAAATAAACAAACCAAAAATATGTTTTTACAAAAAAAATGAACCTAGTAATACAAAAATCTTTATGATGAATTTATCTTTTCTGATAAAGCTATTTTCGATATTTGAACCACGTATCAAAAACAAATATACAAATTTAATTATAAAAAATAGTAGAAAGTGTTAAGGTAAATAATAACAAAGTTTTATGCAAAATACGATGCTCTGGTGAGAGTTGACGACGAAAGTAAACCAGTTTGAACTGGAGACAAACAGTATATGCATAAAAAACGGCTGTAAGTGATATTGTATTCGAAATCTAGTTCAAAAATGCCTGAAATATCAGGCATGAAATGAGTTGGTAAATTGCAGGGTACACCAATGAGGTAAAGTACTGCAATGCTTCAATGCTTTTGATGATCATCTATCAGTCAGGACGGCAAACAATGTAACTACAAAAAATTTTGCTTCGGCTGCGGTTAGAAAATGATGCTACTTTGTATTTGCAGAAAACAAAAATATGTAGCTTGTGAAGTTTTTTGTATTAAACTAGAGGACTTAAATTAACTATTAAATTGACGACCGATAAAAGAGGAGTCTATGTGAAAGCTAGCTAGTTCAATACTAGCTATTCCAGTGTTTTTGTGGATGAAAACTCTACGGGCCTATTTTATCAGTTGATACCTTTCTCTTAATCAATGTATTACTATCGTAACATTCATATTTAACATTAGCATACGAGTGAATGTTAACGGTTCCGAGTCTTGTGTCTGTCGTACAACAGACACAAGACTGGAGAAGCAATCTCCTTGCATGACCATCTGTCGGCCACATTTGTACTACAAACACTACGTTTAGATTCATTCATCATTACAATACAATAAATAATCGTAATTATATAACCTCAGAAGTTGATAAAAAATTCATGAGAAACTATAATAATAATCAGGATGGAATACATAGTTCAATTCAGGGTGAAGTACATTACTAATATTTTTAACTTTCCGCTAAGAAAATCGAAGATTTTCGAAAAATCGGGAAGTTATTAGTTTTACCCCGTTTTGCAAAAATCGAGGTTTCAACAGATTTCGACGTTTTGAAGCCCTAAGAAGCTTTCCTGACTATTTTTACGATGATGTCCGTACGTCTGTATGTATGTATGTGTGAACGTACGTACGTACGTACGTGTGTGTGTATGTGTGTAAGCCTCTCGTAACTTCTGAACGGCTTGACCAATTTGATCGCAGTTGGTGTCATTCGAAAAATCTTCGCCAAACTTGGATTTCCTGTGAGTTGGAACCAATTCGGACCGGTAGATTTCGAGAAATTGCAAAAAAAGTGAAAAAAAGTTGTTTTTTTTTTATTTTTTCAAAATATCTCTGAATTGGCTAAATCGATCGACCTCATAATCTAATCAGCTCTTAACCTTAAAAACCCGCATCGATCGCCACCAAGTGGGTCAGAATCGGTTGATGCGTTCGTGAGATATCGTTGTCGAAAAATATCGAAAAAAGTGTTTTTTTGTAATAACTCCGAAATGTTTCATCAAATCAATTTTTTGTTCCAAATTATTTATAGAGCTCATAAAACTACATCGATCGCCGCCAACCACGTGAAAATTGGTTAATTTATTCAAAAGTAATAGCAATTTGAAAATTAAAAAAATCGTGTTTCATCGAACTTTGATAAGATTTTTGAGCTCGAAGAGCTCAAGAGCATAGGAAAGCTATCTCTTTGAGCTCAAAGAGCTCAAAATAACACTTAAATCGTATTTTTGAGCTCGAAGAGCTCAAAAACGTCATAAGTGCAATTTTAAGCGCCTAGGTATGGAACTAGCGGGAAGTTGCAGGGATGGCCTTCAGGGTCAACCGTTTTCCTAATTTTTTTAGAAACATTTATTTAGAAATGAGTTGAAGCAGAAATGTTAAAAAAAAATTAGGAAAACGGTTGGACGTAAAGGCCATCCCTGAAACTTCCCAATTATTCCATACTTAAGCGCTATTTGAAAATTAAAAAAATCGTGTTTCATCGAACTTTGATAAGATTTTTGAGCTCGAAGAGCTCAAGAGCATAGGAAAGCTATCTCTTTGAGCTCAAAGAGCTCAAAATAACACTTAAATCGTATTTTTGAGCTCGAAGAGCTCAAAAAACGTCATAAGTGATATATGCCTAGGTATGGAACTAGCGGGAAGTTGCAGGGATGGCCTTCAGGGTCAACCGTTTTCCTAATTTTTTTAGAAACATTTATTTAGAAATGAGTTGAAGCAGAAATGTTAAAAAAAAATTAGGAAAACGGTTGGACGTAAAGGCCATCCCTGAAACTTCCCAATTATTCCATACTTAAGCGCTCAAAATTGCACTTATTATTGCTCTTCGAGCTCAAAAATATAATTTTCGTATCATTTTGAGCTCTCCGAGCTCAAAAATCTGGTAGAAGTTTAAGAAAACACTATTTTTTAAATTTTCAAACTGCATTAACTTTTGAATGAACACTCACACGCACACGCACACGCACACATGAACACACACACACACACACACACACACACACACACACACACACACACACCATCGCGGGAATAGTCAGGGAAGCTTCCTAGGACCTCAAAACGTCGAGATCTGATGAAAACTCGATTTTTGAAAAACGGGGTAAAACCAATAACTTCCCGATTTTCAAAAATTTCCAATTTTCTTAGCGGAAAGTTAAAAAAAAAACAAGAATAATCGAGATTGACCTGCAATGCAGCTATGTCAAGGCGCAAACTTCTGTGGCATCGATTTATTAC